CTCAAAAAAACTTACGAAGTAAATCGAGTACTAAGTATCGGATAATGGAGGGGGACGATCATTAGATCTTATGAAGAAAAGTTGAGATGAAAAGAGGGCGTGAGAGAATGTAGTTGTAAAGAAAGGTGGGGAGTGGGCCTATATAATCAAGCTAACCTTAATTGGATTAATACGAAGTATTTAACATTTAAGACAAAGAAATTAACACACCAAGGAAATGTAGATGGTAAGATTTTGGGCTGTAACAAGTATAGATTCAGAGTCCACAACAAAATGGCATATGCTATTCTTACAATGCTCTTAATTCATTGGATTGTGTGTAGTTTGTTGGTATGGATATTAGAGATTGAAGATAAAACAGGTGTTTGTAAAGTGCAAATCTATGATTCAAAGGATTTATTATTTGTTAAGAATTTAAATAAGTGTATTCGCCAGTTTGGAGTAGATTTTTTTCTGCGATGACACATGTGTTGCTTTTGGTTTGGAAATGTGATTTACAAGTTTTTGTAGCTGGATGTTTATTTTAATTAGGATTTTTAATTTATTATAATAGGATATTAATTATTATTTTTTTTTTTGTTCACGGGTTGGATGTCAATTTGTGGTATAATATATTTCTGATGGTTTTTATATATACTTATTATACTTTTGCTCAGAGGATTGCGACATTTCAGAACTGCTTAAATGAGCGGGTTTTATGTTTTTTCGATGATTTCTGGTTCTGATGTTTTTGGATAGTTAGTTATGTTTAAACAAGATTGAATTGAACAGAGAGCTTCTGCTGCAACTGGTAAACTTGAATACTGTGGCCAACCCTTTATGTTTGGTTCGGTCGTAAATGTTTTTTGAGGTTACGAGAGGGTTTTAATCTTGTGTTGATTGTCTAATAAATTCGTGGCAGGACAGTAACAACTGTCGTATCGGGCATAGTTCTGTATGTAATTTAGTTTGGTGCAGATATTTATATGCGTGAATGGATTGGATAACTTACATTCATGTTATCTCAGCTGTCGAGGGCTGTGTTTGTGAGATTCGTAATATGGATTGGCATATGGTTTTCTTTGCTGATATGTGGTTGAATTGCGTAAGTATGTTATATATATGGCTCGGTGACTTAGTTTGTGTAGTTGGTAGGAAGGTTGCTAGAATAAGCTCATTAGTGAAACATCTGAAGACGTGTGTGTGCGGGCGAGAATTCAGGTGGTATTCCAAAGATAGGTCAGATGTTTTAGAAAACATAAGAAGAGATTCTGGTTTGCTAATTAAGTGTGTTTAACGTGAAATGTGTTATGATGTTATCGATGGAGACTGATTGGAGGTTGTCTTGGAGATTTATTTGGCTGCTATTAAAGTGGTTAATGACATTGTTGATTCAATGGACTGCAAAAAATACTGTGCTGCTCTTTTTCTTGACTTGTCAAAGGCTTTTGATACAGTTGACCATGCTATTTTATTAAATAGACTAAACAATATTGGTCTATCTGTAAATGCTGTAAGTTGGTTTTCAAATTACTTGTCAGCAAGAAAACAGTGTGTCCGTGCTGCTGGGTCTTCTTCCTCTTTTCTCCCAGTATCCAAAGGAGTTCCGCAGGGTTCCATATTAGGACCATTGCTATTTTCTCTTTACATAAACAACCTTTGTGATAATTTGTCAAATGCAGCATTTCATCTTTATGCAGATGATACAATTATTTATTGTTCATCCCCTTCAGTAGCACAAACCCTGCAATTTCTGCAGTCTGCCTTTGATGTCGTTCAGTCCCATTTAACTCAACTTAAGTTGGTGTTAAATCCAGAGAAATCCAAGTTCATGTTATTCTCAAATGGCAAAGAGTTGTTAGCTACGTCTCCTAAGATTAAAACAATTCAAGGATCTGAAATTGAAATGGTCACATCTTACAAGTATCTAGGGATCATTATAGATCAGAATTTGTCATTTAAGACTCACATTCAAAGGCTTGTGTCGAAGTTAAAACTAAAACTAGGTTACTTTTTTAGAAACCAATCCTGTTTCTCCCTCCAAGTGAGAAAACATTTGATTCGTGCAACCTTTTTACCTTTATTGGATTATGGTGACCTGCTTTTTATGAATGCACCTGCCCACTACCTAAAGAGGTTGGATACTGTGTACCATTGTGCTTTACGTTTTATTACTGGCTATGGAAATCGTGTACATCATTGTTCTTTGTATGCTGCTGCTAAATGTCCATCTTTGCATATTCGCAGACTCTCCCATTGGTTGATCTTTATCTATAAATCTCTCCTTGGGCTGGTTCCATCTTATTTATGTGTTTATATGTGTAAAAACCACAACCAATACAACCTTCGTTCGAACAAAATCATACAATTGATTGTCCCAAAAATCAGAACAGAATTGGGGAAAAGGGCTTTTAAATACGCTGCCCCTGCTTCCTGGAATAATCTGCAGAAGGAACTGAAATTATCAGAATTGGTTACCTTGGGAGAGTTTAAGTCTGTCTTAAAGGAACGAGAGAACAGCTCTTTTACTCAGTGTGATTGTTTTTAATGTACTCTTAATTTGATCTGTTATTGTATATTTTACACATGTTTGTATGGGATATTGTATTTGTTTTAAATGTTATATACCTATGTGGTATGTGACTTTTGTTGCCATGATGCCAGGTCTCTCTTGGAAATGAGATTTTTAATCTCAATGAGATTTTTACCTGGATAAATAAAGGATTAATAAAAAAATATCATATATATCATCTTACAATAAAAACAGATTCAATAATTCTGAAACAAAGTTTAAGCTTCCCATAACTTTGTACTCCAAGTTATAATATTGATATAATTGATATAAAATGTATGTATTGTTCAGCCATAAGTGCAGTCTCTGGCTCAAACAACACATTTGTTTTGCATTCAAACACACAAAATTGGTATGTTGTATTTATATTTTAAGGGTGGCTTGTTTCCAGTCCAGGCACTACTGCCTGATTGACTGTCATGGATTTAGTTGATCCAAATGCCTGAAGAATGTCTTTAACATCTCTCTTTAAGTACAGTGGCAGTGGACGCGATCTCAATTAGGCTCTCCTGGTCAGACGGTCATAACAAAGTAGGCTCGGCTGAAACATGTTTCAGACGGAGAGGAATTCCCTTTGCAGCAATAACCTCTCGGTGGATGCTGCAGTGTACCCAAGAGGCATCTGGCGTGACTGCTTGCACACGTCAAACCACACCCCCGTGTGTCCCAGTCATGGCCCATGCGCCATCAGTGCTAACACCTCTGTCACACACGAGTCCATGTGTGTTCACGAATGTGTCCAGCTTTTGAAAAATATCAGCGGCAGTTGTCTTTTCTTCCAGCGGTTTACAGAACAGCATGTCCTCCTTGATAGTTCCTTCATAAATGTTGCGCACATACATTAGGAGATGCGCCAGGTCAGCCACATCCGTGGACTCATTCAGCTGTATTGCATAAGATTCTCTGTGACATATGCGCTGATGGAATGGACTGTATCGTCTTTTTTGCCTTTTCCATTGTCCCTACCATATCTGAAGCAGCAGGGAGAACGAGGTCCTCCAAATTGGTTTTAGCCACTCTGTAACTGACCATGTAAGATGCTTGTAGTCTGTTTTTCTTCATAGGATCTGGCATTCGAATGCAAGTTTTACTTGTTGAAAGTGATTTTAGCTGTCGCTCAATATATTCTCTTGGTTTATTTTTCAAATGGGGATGATTTGTCTCTAAATGTCTGCACAATAGTGAAGGTTTCATTGAGTTGTTAGACAATACTTTTGCACAATTAACCCCTTAGCAGTCCTATTAGTCCCCTAAACCATCCAATGTCCCGTGGGCGGTACGTCCGACTGCTAACAGTTTAACACATTGTGGCCGGTAATATCCACCAATATTTATACACGTGAATCCCCGCAAAGTATAATTGTCATCATATTTGCGCTTCTTTGATGAGGGTGTGTTACAGTCCGAGGTGATATGCTTTCTCCCACTTTGACGCTCTGCATCAGACTTTAATCACTTTCTCCACGACAGTCTCCAGCTATGCTAGCCACTTGGCTAGTAACCACAGATGCATCTGTGCCAGCACCCCAATCTGACCATTGTTGTTGAACAATCACCTGTGCGGTCACTGGCAAATGCATCTTCAGATATGAGCTGATTGGTTTTAGTGGCCGGTGTTTTGGTGGTAGGGCGTTTTTTTCCTTCTTCTTGTTAACCATTTGTCCATTTCTGCGCTGCACTGAATGCTTGGAGGCAACTTTGACTGTCAGGTGTCAGTCAATCGGGCAAGTCACGCCCATTTATTTTGTCAGTGCAATGTTTTTGCTGAACACCAGAGGGTGGTATATAGTCATTTAATAACCACAGCAAACTGTATTAACGCAAATTTAGGCTTTTTAAATTCGTGATCGCCACTCCAACCTCAACCTTCGTGTACACCCTACAGCCACTTGCGTGCCCCCGAGGGTACGCGTACCCTAGTTTGGGAACCACTGCTTTAAACAATACAGGACATTCTGGCTTCTTGACAACAAAATAAATGTGGTTTGGCTCAAGACTTTTGCACAGTACTGTACGTATTAAACAAATGACTAGATATCGTTCCATTTGCCTGTGCATCAGGAAGTCTACATCTACAAGTATCTGGAGATTAATCGTTATATAATTTACCCATGTTGCTTGTTTCCTGATGAAATGTGAAAATGCTTTGTCATTGCACGTGACTATCTGCCAGCAGGTCACATTAAACATTAAAGTGGATGATGAGTTTCTAAAATCAGGAGGAGAAAAAAAATGCAACCTCATCCTGTGAGTCACAGCTGGTACAGACGCCCCGGCTCAGTGATTGGTGGAAACATACGTCACATCTTGCACGAGCACTTCCGGTGGAGTATAAGTACAGGGACCCGCGAGTGTGCCGTTTCACACCAGGGGAGAAATCTTTGAGGAGTTTTTGCTTCAACAGTGTTTGAACGGAACTTCTCATAAAAATTTATGGAGAAATCGTGTCCTACATGGAGTTTTTAATTCCATTTTGATCCAGTGAGTTCCCAATCAAGATCTGCGCCCCAATAAGCCTGTAAGCTGTACTCTCGACTCTGTTGATGATGGTGACAGCAGTGACCTCATGGAGACCCAACAAGTCTATGTGCCACCAGGGAGAGTCCTCTGTTGGTGAAGTGTGGGTACAGCATCCTTGTGGCATTTGTCCATTTCTGCATCCATCGACAGCTTTTGAGGCCCAATATTCTGTCCCAGACCAAGTCGATGACTGGACTGTTTCTTTGTTTAAGGCCACATTTGGAAGCGGTTCCACTGAGTATCGAAAAGAACAAACAGACATGAGTCATTATCAGGCAGGTGTGTTTCAATAGATCAGATTCACTCACTAAAAGCTCTACCTCGGGCAGCATACACCTCCACTTCACACAGGGTGAGAGTTTTCTTCTGTCCAGGAAGAAACAGGTTCACAAAGCGACCCTCCATGCTGCCTCCGTCACACTGGTATGTGTAGGTTTTACCCGCTTTTATGTGGGAGATGGAAGCACATCTGACAGACGAATATATGCAGACAATATTCTGTTAATATGGATTTTCCCAAAGTTGGATAGCATGTATCTCTTAATTTCATTTCATAATGAAAATTGAATTCTCATCATTACCTGGGATTATTGTTTCCATTGTTCTCCAGTGAGTTTCCTATTCTGATCTCAGCTCCATCCAGTCTTTCAGCACAGCAATCTCCTCTGTTGGTGACTTTTACAGTAGTGATTGTAAAGCTGTGCTGCAGGTCTACCCGCCACCAGGGGTCGGTCTCGTCTTCAGCAGTGTGGCTGCAGAACCCATTGGTATAGAACGAGTTCCGTCTACCGTCGATGGCTTTGGATGCAGCAGCAAAAGAGAGCGTAGATGACTGAGTAGCTTCTCCTTTAAGTGCTAAATTGGATGATGGGTATCCTTGAAAGAAAACCAGGAAAAGTCGGTTTCTGCAGAAGGTGCACTGTGCAGTTATTTTAAAGGTCACACTTAATTTTCACAACATTTTCTGAGTTTCAGAGTCTATGAAATACCAGACGTCTGTATCAGCATCAGACTGAAATATGATTACCATAGTACACTTCAACCTCACAGAGACTTAGGATCTTCTTGCTTCCAGGGAGAAACACTGTGACGTATTGTCCTTCAAAAGACCTGCAGGGAAAGTAAAATGTCTGTCCACTGGGAAAGTGAGAGATCACAGCACACCTGTGTATGCAAGAGCCCAAAAAAAACAGAAAGAAAGTGAAGGAATAAATCTTATTCACATAATTATTTCATTATTTGGGGCTTTATCAAGTGTTTTCACCTCATGCTTTCATGGTCATTGATCTCTGTTGACTTTCCAATCCAAATTTCAGCACCATCCAGCCCGTTTTCTAGTTCTACTGTACTGGTAATTAGTACAGCGCCGATTGTGTACACTTTCTTCAGGTCTACCCTCCACCAGGGATCAGATTGTGAGGTGGTAAGTGTGCAGGACCCTCTTTGATAGCTCGAGTCTCTGTTGCCATCAACTGCCTTGTCAGCAAAACCCAGGCTGTCATTGTTTGAGGACTGTACAGCATTCTGATTCAGTGCCAGGTTTTGGAGGAGATGACCTTATTAAGAAAAAAAACTGTAGTAATTAGTCAAATTAATAGATTGCTCTGGGAGTCGAGGGTGGTGGGAAGGGGTGTTGGAGTAGGGTTGTACCTGTTGGTGCACCAGATTCCATCAAGAAGAAAATACCTGTTAACATAAATTATTTAAAGAGCTTTAGTTTTTCTCCCTTTTAAAGACTATATAAACAGCAGAGGTGGGAGGGTCGATCCAAATATCTATAGTGTCGATTGACATCATATTGATACTAGCATAACAGATTCAGTGTCAATAACAGATGTTGAACAAAAGTTCTTTAGAGACAGGCACATTCTAGGCCTCCAAAAAATACATGAAAAGTTTAACAATATGTTTTGTTGGTAGATGGTTATTGTGGAAAGTAAAAATCACAGTGATTCAGTGGTCGTTAAAATGTGTTCTGAATTTGCGTCTTAATGATGAATCATGACATACCACTCTCCCCTACATGAGCTGCTTTAATAGGTTAACAGCATTCTCAAAGACATCACTGCTGAAAAAGATGTCATCAATACTTTAAATAATAAAAGGTAAGCAAAATATAAAATAATAATAATTATTATAATAATAAAATACTTACATCTTACAATGTGGACTTGGTAATATGCTTAGTGTTTTTGGTCAACAACCAAATTCTGCAAAACACTCAACCCTACAACTTGCATTATTTTGCATTACTTTGCATTATTTATCTCATTTGCTGAGTTTTGTTTGCAATGTGAAAGATGACGACACAACTGTTTATAAAAGTGCCAAAAAAAGAGAAAGAAAATGAAAAAAGTCTTCTTCACATAACAACTGTAGAATGATTATTTCACCCGATGCTGTTTTTTGTTGAAATTGGGATTCAGATTTCAGCATTATCCAGCACATTTTCTAATTCTGCTGTATTTGTTATCATTTCAACATCAAGTCCCTCCACCTGCGGTTGGACTGTAATGTGGTAAGTCTGAACTACTCTGATAGCTGAGGCGTCTTTTCCAGTCAACTATTTGCCAGCAAAGCCCAAAAAAGCCACTGCACAAACGTGTTTGTAACTGTCGTGAGCTGATGGCTGGTATGTGTGAGTGTAGAGTGACATGCAACTCTTTAGTGGATATTATGTCTGACACTGAAGCCCTGTGCTGAACAAAGGGAGCGTGTCCAAATGAAGCCCGTGTCGATCGTTCTTCAGAATATCACGTGAACAAAGATAAACAGGGCTCTGAAATGACATGACTGTTAATGCCTCATTATGTGATTTGAGCCTTTGAAGCATTGCAGGAAAGACACTCGTATTTGTCTTTCCAGCAAAACCCACATTTTCATTGACTGAAACAGAGGAAACAGAGGAGAAATATACTAGAGCCTAAAAACACTCTTACATCCAAAAGAAAGATAATATAAGCCCGAAACAAAAAACAAAACATTTGGTCAAACCCAGGACCATGAGATTGGAACGGGTTCTTGATTTTTCAAAATAGGCACCCAAAGAGGAAAGAATTAAGGGAAGATAATATTCCACAACATCTCTAAGTGAGCAAAGCAGGTTATGAGTAAAAGAAGAGTACATTTTGTGATTGTGCACTTTTTTCCTTCATAATTGTGGTTCATGGTGTGGGTTTTAGATAGATTAAAACAATAAAATATCTGGCATTGATTCTTTATATGGGAAAATACATTTAGTAAAAGGTCATTTGTCTTACCTGTGAAGATCCAAATATAATCCATGCCATTCATGTCTCCTTGAAATGTCACATTGATTATGAAATTGAACAAATGACATTAATTGCTCGTATACACCAGCTGGCAAGTAGAGGACTTACTTTCTCCGTAGTTTTCTTCAGAGTACTACAAATAACATACTGGATTTAGTCTGGTAAAGGAGAACATTTGGAACTTTAATGAGTGTTCGTCAATGTTTGCATGAAGGAAGACACACCCAAATTTGGGTCATCCAAACAACTTAATTTGCACTTTCTGTGAGTTTCCTGACACTGCCAGCCCCTTAAGTTTCTATGTTTTGCAAATGTTTTGCATTTGAACGGTCTCACATGTCAGAGCACTGACAAAGAGTCAGAGCACTATTGAGCTACTTGACCTAGCTCTCTTAGCTAATTTTAGACTGATTTTTAGTCAGGATTCAGAATTCATCAAAGTACAATACAGGTGGTGGTGTGAGTGGATTCCACTTTGTTAATGTTGACAAGGCCACTCAACCAAATATAATTTTGGCTGTTCATTACACTTTGCCGAAAGCTTCTTGGGCCACAGCTTTGGAAGCTGCCTCATCCAGCAGCTTTCGTAATATTTACCATCAAGCCAGGAAATGGCCAGTGCACGTGTTTTAATAGGACTCTCCTCAGTTTGCTGCATACTCTGTCGTGTTCAGAGAGACTAGAATTCATCTCAGCCCCAGCTATGCTAGTGTTATAATAACACTCTTATGCAGGCCAGTGTATGTTCTTTTGCGTCGACCCCATTGCAAGAGATGTTCATGTGGGGATTCAGGAGCACCAAATCCCACTGCACGTTATGTTTCAATGAATTAGGGAATGACTGCTGACCACAGAAAAAAGAATTTTGACCAACATGTTAGAGATGCACCACTGAAAGGTGGCTAATTAGTATTTCTGCACAGCATGGCTGGGAGGAGTATGAGAGATCTGTGGAGTGAAATATACTGTAGGGTATATAGAGTCCAGAAAGGACCTAAAGAGAGTGGGGCAGTATATACACTTGCATCTTCAGATAGCCATAGCAAAGTAAACCATGTTCATTGTAGCTTTCTAAAGGATGTAATATGATAATTTGTTGTATAATACTTTTCATATATTATGTTACACATTACGCTGAGAGTGGTTCTGTTGCTGAGTTGGAGTCATCCTGTTATCTCATCCTGCTTCAATGACGGGAACACAAGTGAGGAGAGATGTTACATCATACGAAACCATCTGCCTCCATAATGACGTCTCTCGCCTTCTCAGAAAAATCCAGAAATGTGGTGTTTAGAGCTGACTACCAACAGGTTGAGGATCAAAGCCAGAAACTTTGAGATGTTATAGATGACCAAGTTGATCAAATAAACAATATGATCTTACAGGTACACCCCTTGTACCTGTTCTCAGTATCTTCAGTAAACCATACAGAATTGGTGCAGTTTCCCCTGGTTATAGCCTGTGGTATGAGGTCCGGTTAATAGCATCGTCCTGTTTCAGACAATCTTCCTGTAACTACTTCCTGGGTCTCGTTTCAGGGGCTCATAATTTTCCCATGATAGTCTTTCTGGTTTAGCAAAACTGCGCACCAACCCTTGTCTGACAGAAGGACGACAATGTTGTTGTCTTTACTAAGCAATGTGAGGGCTGGGGGCTTTGCATTGCTGCGATAGGCCAAAACTTCCACATCTGCTTTCACATCTGCACTGTGTTTTTTTTAAATTGCTGATTTTGTGGCTGTGATCATCTTTCACATCTGCACTGTGTTTTTTTTAAATTGCTGATTTTGTGGCTGTGATCATTTCCACTCGTGAGATTTTTCTCAGTGTTCAGTCATTTTGCGAGAATGTTGTTCACTGCTTGAGTGACTTGTCTGCCAGAAACATGCTCATGTATCCACATCCTCAGTGTGGCATCTTTCTCTCATCTAGCGGCTGAGAATACGCTCTGTGTTTTGCTGATGTCAACAAGTAAGTCAAACTTGCTTTGTTGCCTGGTCTTAGACTGTTCATGCTGTGCTGGATGAGCCTTTTCAATGAATTCAAACACCATTTGAAGGGTATTCTCATCTAGACTCACTGTAAGTCTCAATCGGAGCCGCTTTTGAATTTAACACATCGATGGTAAAACTTGTTTGTCTCACCTGTTCATTGAGCAGCTGGCTCTGTGCCTTCTGGAAGATTTTTGTTGTGGTTTCTGTAGTCAGCGCTCTTATGTTAAGTTTGCTCATGCTCACATACTAGCTTTAGGCAGTCCTTCCCAAAGTTGGTTAAAATGTCTTAATGCATGCTCAATGATCCAGGTAAGGAAATCCTAAAAAGTTGATTCTGTTCAAGTGAACATTGCGTTTTCAGTGGAACAAATATTCTGTCATTCATCCAAGTGACTTCTTCAACCTAAGCTTCCTGCAGGTTTCCCCAACCTTATAAACAGTACATCTGCAAAATGACTGAAGCTACACTGATTAACAACGGGCCGTGGTGTCACCAACAAACTAAGCCCAAATCATCGCCCGTGCTTGAAAGTTGGTGTGAGATGTTTGTCTTGATATGCTGTGTTAGTTTTCTCCAAATATAGCAGTGCATTATGGCCAGACATCTCCACTTTGTTCTCATCTGTCCAAAGGACATTGTTCCAGAAGTCATGTTCCCTTTAGAGGAAAGAGGAATTCAATTGAATTCAACGGAGGGTGAAATTAATGTGGCAACAAAACAGACTGAGTGGTATTATTAGCAAGTGCCAGTAGCCCTTGGTTAAATCTAGCATCAGTGCCTAACCGGTCAAGGAGCTCATCGACCCGATACATGGGGTAAGCATCAAACGGTGACACTTCATTCATCTTGCAGTAGTCAACACAGAACCGTTTAGACCCTTCTTCACCACAAGAACTACGGCGCTGCATCAGGCGCTGCATCAGGCGCTGCATCAGGCGCTGCATCAGGCGCTGCATCAGGCGCTGTGCGACTCTTTGCCATCATTGCTGCTGTTGCATAATGGGGCACAAGATGACCTCTCTTGACAGTTCTAATAAATATGAAAACATTCTTCTCCACAACAGAAACCTGTAACAGAAACCTTGAAAAAAGGTGGGTAGGGCTAAAAAGAAATATAAAATAATATCTACAGCTCACATCTGACAGTCAAACAATTAGAACTGTTAATGGTAAAACACTCCCCCCTAGTGGTCAAAGTTCCAGTTAAACTTCTGTATAGAACAGAGGTCGGCAACCTGCGGCTCTTTTGTCCTTATACTTCAGTATTTAGCTAAAGTGTATTTTATTTGTCTTTAGTTCTTTTTTTAACTTGTAGTTCTAGAAGATTATTGTGATATTGAAATATAAAATAAAATTATTTTATTATTTTTCATCGCTCAAAATAAGCGTCACACTCGCGGAAGCCGGTGTACCCGCCGAAACGCCATGCATTTATCGAGACTTTCAACCCCAGGTAGGCCAATTATGGATCTTCGGATCCACATTATGTCAGCAGCTATTCTCCACCGTGAACTATGTTAAAAACAAACACCGCTCACGCCTCACAGATGACAGCTTACAGTCCTGCGTAAAGATGAAAGTCACTTCGTACAGCCCCGATTTGCAGACGCTGTGCGCAGAGGTTCAGGAGCAGAAGTCCCATTGTAAACATACCACGGCAGACCCGACGATGTTTGCATGAACACGCTTTTCAGCATCTCTTTATTGACCACTTTTCACACACGGTTGCTGTACGCACACAGCCGGCTGTAGCTTTTCAGCTCACAGCCCGACACACACCAACACAACAGCAGAGAGAGCACAGACGTTAAGAGGCGTGATTGCGGGTGCCGCTCAGGTGCGTCCGCCTCCCCTGCAGCGGCGCTGCAGACCACGCCCCGCCACACACATTAACCAGGTAAAATACATATTTAGGCAGAATTTTGCAAATATCTATTTTTTTTTTTTAGCAGCATAGTGCTTTTTTTCAATTATTTTTAAAAGTCAGGTCAAGGCTCCAAAAGCCCAAAGGCGATATAAGGGCTGCACAGCAGTTTTTGTTTGCTGGATCATTTTAGTTCAGCTCTTTCCTTTTGTTATATTTCTTTAAGAGTTCAAAATGTGTTAATTACATAAATAAAATGTAATTTTCTCTGTAGCACTTCATGGATTTCATAAGCAACACACCTTAGTTGTTCACACAAAGCATAAAGGTAAAAAACAATATATACAGTGTTATCTTCATTTTAGATGTCAAAAAGTATTTGCGGCTCCCAGTGTTTTCTTTTGCGTGGAAACCGGGTCCAAATGGCTCTTTGGGTGTTAAAGGTTGCTGACCCCTGGCCTATAGATAATTAAACCATCGTGTTTAGCTGTAGATTGTTTCCATGTCCAACCATCTAAGTGTCTGTGAAGGTTCTCAGTCATCCAGGTCATCGTAGTCAAAGGAGCTGCAAAGAAAAGCGTCTGGACTTCTTTAAGTTGCTTGAAGACGTTTCACCTCTCATCCGAGAAGCTTCTTCAGTTCTAAGGGTCAAATGGTGGAGAGTCCCAGATTTAAACCCAGTGGGAGTTTCCCCCCAAAGAGGGACAAAAGGACCCCCTGATGATCCTCTACGCACATGAGCCAAGGTGTGAACGGGTGTGGTCACAATCAGCCAGGTTTCAGGTGAGCTCATTGTGAAACCTGGCCCCACCCTATCATGTGATTTCCTGAGGTCAGATGGCCCAGGATGTGAGTGGGCGTTAAGGCGTCTGGGGGATCTCAAAACTGGATTATAGATGGCAGACAGTTGGTGTCGTAAACCCCGCCTCTGTTCAAAGATGGTCGCTCACAGTGGACATACTTTTCTATCACTGCCACTAGATGAAACCACAGACTGCGATACTGAATGCTTAAGCTTTCCACTGCATTTCCATATGCCAATCTTTACCATCTTACCTAGTCAACTTGAGTCATGTATTTTTCTTCTACAGAGCCCGGGTCCTGATTAAACATATGTCAATTTCTCCTCCTGTAATACAACAATTTCTAGTATGATACCACACCTGACCTATGAGAGGTGCACTTTTAAGAGATGCGTGAGGATAATTAGTTTTAAACTACCAGTAATCTCTACACAATAACCTCATGTTCAAGTACTACTAAAATGTTCAAGGCTTAAAAAATGCACGGACAAGGTGCTAAATAGGTAATGAAAGAGAGGTACGTCTAATCATGGCGTATCAATTATTAGCGAATTCGATCCAGTAAGCATTATCGTATCGCCGTATCACCCAGAGCTCCTCTAAAGGTAACATAGAATGAAAATTTTTTTTTGTTCTAATTATCCGCCACATACCATACATGTGGCGGTTCCGAGCTTTTTTTTCTCCACTTTTTTATAAAACAAAGTAGAGAAAAAAGGGGTTGGTGAGGAGAGGAAAAATAATACATTAGGCTCCCAAAGTTATTTTCTTTCGAATTTTTAACTATGTATCCCTTGTTATTAAAAGTAAATTCCAAAAAAAAAACATATATAACGACAATACAGTCCCAATATTAAGAAAGTCTGGCTTTACCTTCGTGAACTGTCTACCCCGCTCCCCAGCTATAATGCGTTTCATAATACGACCCAGAGAGAAACAGAAATTATTTGCCCATCTCAAAACAGCTCCAGTTGGGCTTATTTTTTTGCGACAGCCGCCCACTCCCTGTGTGGTCCAGAAAGGCGAAAAATTCCAACCTCCAGCCAACTTCCTTAAGAGTTAAAAAGCCCAATCACAGATAAATATTTAAAAGACTCAACTTTATGCATCAGCCATCAACTGCACGTCTCACGAACGGTGGAGTTCAATTGAATATTATAGACTTCACCCTGTACCAAAATGTTGTCAAGCACCGAAGTCACTAACATGGAACCTTTCACTATGCAAAGACTCCAAAGTAACACACACATTACCTTATATAAACAACTTTATTATGCTCCCAAATACACCTGAAGTGATTTCTGAACCCTGCATCACAGATGCAGACCCAGACCAAAATCCAGCCTCAAAGGTTTATCAGTGACCACTTAACCCATATCGATAACAGATCAGAAAACATTTCTCAATTCCAACGCCCTCCCCTTAGAAGTCAGACCTAACTCCAACATAATGACCGCCTCCGCAACCATAATGAACCACAAAAACTCCATCCTCCACTTGGATACATTTCACACGAAAGAACACCAACAACATACAACTAATGCCACTTTAAAGAGAATATCAGGAATAAAAAATCAAGTCCCAATGCAACGGAAAAACCGACACGAGTGAGTTCTACCTTACCCCAAGGAAGAGCACCTGTCCCTCTTTATACATGCCTGAAGCTCCCAGCTTCCACACTACCGTCATCCACCACTTTACTAGCTTTTCAACCCAGAGTGTGCTTGTCAAAACACAGTACTCGGCATAAAACTTAATGTCCTATAGATAATGCTGAAGGCACATCCCATCGCGAAGGTAGGTATGAGTTGAATGGTGTCAACCCAGTCTTGATGGACCACAACTTTCCACAACACCCAAAACATGCTCATATTCCAGTGTTCCCAAAAACAACCAAAACCTGCTCATCCAGGTAGTGGCTCTCCAGGAAGTCACACAGCTGGGAAAACAAACTACAGTTAACATTTGATGATTTGTCAAACATACACAGCATGAACTAGTTCAGTCTTTAACCCCAAACTCTTCCCTCCAACTCCCACTTACATGAGGGTCATTATGCTGAGAAGCCAGCTTGTGCAGGTCCAGCAGAGCCTGGTTGACATTCTTCTCCAGCTGCAGAGCACACTGCATGGCCTCCAGCCCGCTGCCCCACTCGTCACGCTCTGGTTTCTGCACAACAAACAATTCTGTTAGAGACCGAACACTTGTTTTAAGCTCTGTGTACACATTACACACTAATGCAACAACAGGAAGAGAACAAGTGTCATAACACTGCTCATTAATCCCAGTTTCTGTGTCAGAGACACAGTCAGGTATGTCACAGCAGGACTGGTTCAGTTTGTACACACCTTGATGTCCTGGAGTAAGACGCGACCTCCTCTCTTGTTCTGGAAGGACAGCAGCTTGTCAGCGTGCTCCCTCTCCTCATGGCTGTTCTCCTTGAAGAAGTGGGAGAAGCCTGGCAGGGCCACATCATCACGGTCAAAGTAGAAGGCCTGCCAAATCAGACACAGGTTATTAATTGGTACACACCACCAATCATTTCGCCCCTGTATAACACAAGTTATACAAGTTTAACTTTGATATGAAATGTTTCAAATTTGATTTAAAAAGACAATGTGCACTAAATTCCACAGGACAGAGTCTACACTCGTTTCCTGCGAAGCGAGCATGTGCATGAAAAAGCCACCGTAAGCATGACGCAGCATTTTTGGTTACTTAGTGACAGTACTTGTGGTGAAAATACACTCCGTATCTGACAACCTGCCTATTAGCACATGATAGGCAGCAAAGAAGCCGTTACTGAAATCATGTATTACTGAATTTAGCAACAACATACCGGACTTTACATTTAACGACTCAACTCCGTTCTCTTTGTCTAGCATTAAGCTAATATAGCTTGAGACTAAGGTTATTATAGACATCAGCATCACATGACGTGTTCTCACCATAGAAGTGTAGGTGTAAGACGCAAACAGCTCCATGTTCACCATCCGGTTGATGGCGGCCTCGCAGTCGCGGTGGTAGTTCTGACGCACTTGGGACTCCATTTCGGCTGGCGTTTCTTGTGCTTTTTATTAACAAAAACGGTGCAAAAATAAAGCTTCACGTCGACTTTATGTGTAGTGTTCAAGTAGAAAAGGTTTTTCTTCCGAAGTGCAGAGTAGCTGAAATACAAAGCGGGACGAAGTCA